TCACCTAATCACTCCACTACTACCATCAACTACGCCTTCAATCCACCCCAAACAATTGCGGCAAACATCCCAACGCCTCCCCCCTCCAAGCCTTTTTATGCGATCTCCTAACACCTTTTAAATGTCCAAAATCCGGTGAAACCAACAAATATCCACCTTACACCGACCATGCCTCCCATCTCAATTTCAATCAATATTGCCCCGTCCCCATGGGATTCAACAAAGACTGTCTATCACAGTCACATCGCACTGGTAACTATATCTATTGGATACTACATTACTTCACCCAAGATGACCGTAACTCCGTCAGTCTCTGCAACATATTCATATGTCTAATGTGCTGCAGCCTACGTACCCCCCGTACAGTCGGTGACCTCTTTGGGTTTTTCTTCTCTATTGGTGAGAATATGAATAATGGTGGTAGTAGTTCCCCTAAGGTCGCTGAGGCCATCAAAAAGTCAGCCGAGAATATACCATGGAATTCCGATGGTTCCTGCTCCATGACTGACGCTCTCAAAACCCTAGCTGGCAGCAAAAGTGACCATAACGGTACCTCTCACCCCGCCGATGCCACCCTCTACACCCTACATTACAGCAAATGCACAACTCCCCAAACCTGCGGTTCCTATCTCGACCCACTTGCCTCGAACATCTATCCCATCATCTCAGCATCCTTCGCTATGTCCAATCTATCACGTATTGTCTATCTCGCAGAGGTTTTATACGATGGTCTAAAACAGTTACAGAAGGATTTCCAAAAACTGAAGTGTAAGCATCATAATAAACAAAGTTGCTCCGACGGTTGCCACGAGTCAAACAGTTGCCAATGCTCTGTCGTCGAATGCAGCGAAGTGCTTGGTCTCTTATACAGCTACGGCCTCCATTACTATTATCCAGGAGAGTTGCATAGCGACGATGACAAAAAACGCACCTGTAAACAATTTGCCACTCAACTCCAAGCAGTCATCAACAACCTATTCGAACCACTCCTCTCAGCCATCAACCTCTTCCTCCATTCCATCCGCCAACCCTTCCTCCTATACCTCCTAACATTCTGGCTTGTAGCCATTATGTACTTCACCTACTCACTAACAATACCTCTAGACCTCTTCCATATCCGCTCACATTTGAGACCCGCTTTGTCCCATCAAATATCCGTGTTGGCGTTATTATCACACAGGGCAATGTCACCAACAAAGGTTGGCTATTTCACACCATAAGATATCATCACATATCAATGTAATGTTATCAAATCTATGTTTGTATGAATTGGGCAGATTGATGGTTTCACAAAAATTTCGTGTTCTACACCCCCTTCCGCATGCACGGCACAGATATTCAGATAAAGTGTGTAGCTAGGTACCCCATCGAAGATGTGTGGAGAAACACACTACATG